GTAATAAAACATAAGAATCCTCCTGACAAACATATGCTTCTATTTCTGCTAAAGATATTATTTCTTCTTCAAGAAGAAGTGGATCAATTTGTTGATAATGAGGAATGTATTCTTTCCAAATCTTCTGTATTTAAAATTGCATTAAGCATTTTCTGGTGCCAGGGCCGGATCTACGAATTTTTCGAGGGGTGGCAAAGATGTGAATTGCCGCCCCCTGCTAAATATTATTTTTTATGTACCATCGTCACCAAAAGTATCTGGGACACAAATAATGCCTAATAATCTCCTAGACTAATTCTACTGTCATTCATTTCAATGCATTATATTCATAGTTTGACAAATATTTGACAATAAAATTCATATAATAGGACAAGAGCTAATGTGATGCTGTCCCAGTTACTTTTGGTGACGATGGTATATATCAAAAATGAGGTGTTGAATTTCACAATTTATTTACATGTAGCAGTAGTGGCTCGTGGTCTATACTGGAAGGGGTTCACACCTAAAGTGATCCAGTAGTTGAAGTCCAGCGCGTGGGATCCAGAGTTATAGCGCACCGCAGGTGCCCCCAAAGGCAGAAATTATTTTCGGGTGCCACGCTCAAAAACGTATTTCAAGCCTCCAAAAAAAATTTATTAGGATATCAAAGATTGATTAAGAACTTAATTTCTTTAATCGCTCAATATTTGACAAGTCTTTTTATCTGGGGCTGGTAGCGCACAATACATAGCTGTGGTCGGAGCCGGATTCGATTCAATGTTGTACTGTTGTACAACAAACAACCAGGGAATCCAGGAATGCTATCAGCACTAAAAAATTTGTACCAGAAAGTAGAGAATAATTGTACTAGATTGGCGACATTGTGTACTAACTAAGCGTCAAACTTTGAAATTTCAATACTCTGTTAATTGGGGGCAAATATCACTTGTTTGAATGATAGAAATAACTAAATTTTTACATAGGTATTTAGTTATAAATCGACTACCGATTACCGTGATCGGCTGAATAACCGAATAACCCCCGATACACACGTCAAGTCACTAAATAAAAAAGTGCGCGTGTGTTCGAAACCATAGGCAATTTTTCGCGAGGATACTCAAGCCTTATCGTATACTCACTGATCTCATACATGAACAAAAAACGCTTCTAATGCTGCTAATTTACGATGTCCTAATGTAAACAACTGGGAGAGCTGTGAGCGTGCGCAGTAGATACATTGTACTGTGCGTGCGCAAAATATTGTCAATGGAAATGAAGGATTTTCCAAAATTTAGAACAGTTGTTCGAAAAATAACACACCACGCAGGCGTTAGGCTGTTCCGTTGCACAACTGTTCGTAGAATAATGACCCCAAATTTTCGCACAAGTTTAGCCAATCAAGCCGTACGATTGTTTATCCATTTATTTTTGAGATCAGTGCTTATACTGGATTATGTGATATGTCAATTGTGTCATACGTCCAAGTGTCATATTTTCCTAACTCCCCCACTCTTAAAATCTGGGATACCCAAGGATCAAGAACTTCTGTGAGGAAAGACAGAAAATCACCCTTTCTACATTAAAAATCGACGAAAAAATTAAGTCACTAGCACAGCCTGAATCGCAAGCATTTCATAGATGTCTGCGGCTGACGTCATCACTATAAGCTGCTGATAGTGACGTCACTTGCAGGCCCAGAATAGGCTCGTTCAGTGAAGTTTCATTAACCACGTTTTTTGATATTTTTATGGAGTATTACTCACATATAGCACACACACAAAAATTCAGCTCAATTGGATAAATATTAAAAAACTTTTGCTGCTTTGAATATTAAAACATTTTGCCTCAGAAATTCATCGCTTAGAGATGGTATGACGTCATCTCTCGAGTCAAGATGGGCTAAAGGCCGTCACACGACCAACGTGAGAGATGCAGTGACGTCACCGCGTGTTTCAAAACTTTCAAATTTGGAGCGTTTTGATAATTTATTTAAATATGAACAAAGGCTCGGAAAATTATGAAATTTTGCACAACTGCTAAACTCAATACGCACTTTCAGAATATGTAATAAAAAAAATATGCTGTACGAGCCTATTTGATGGTGAGGGAGTTAGGGGAGTATGACACAATGACAATTGACACATCACATAACCCACCATAATCAGATTAGGCTTGATTATTCTCGCGAAAAATTGCCTCATATTCGAAACGCCAAATCCTAGTATACAATTCTACTTGTCGTGATCCTAGCCCTGGAACGTGGAACGCAACACCCAACCCACCAGTAAAGAGTAGAGCTCAGAACTCGAGTACGGTATTATACAGAGTAAACTTTGCCTTGAGTAAGGTTACTGTGGGGTGGTCGGCTATTCTATCAGAAGATGTGTTACAATATTAGATAATGAATTTGAAAAAAATATTCGCTAGATATGTATCTATGTTTTATGAAAAAAAGTAAAGCAGTGTCTTTCAAGGTGTCTTCCCTTTTTGCCGCCCCCTCAAGATGCGAAGGGGGGCACGCGCCCCTGTTCGCCCCCCCCCCCCCCCCCCTAGATCCGGCCCTGTCTGGTGCCTCAGTTTAGGAACTTCATTTTTGAATAAAACACTTTTATTTTTCTTAGACCTTTTTAGTCCAAATGCAGTTAATTGATGTCCCTTGGGTCTTCCTTTATGGGCAAGTTTTAAAGGAAATTTAATACTTTTTATTTTTTCTTCTAATTGATTTTGTGCAGTAGTATTTGGTTCTTGGGCAAGTTCCATTAAAATGGCGTTGCAAATATTAACAAAGAATAATATTCTAGATAAGTCTGTTTCTGTAGAAATCACAAACCAGTCAGAGCAAATTTTATTGGTTAAAAATAGTCATAAAAACAGTCAGAAAATTAGTTTCAACCAATGAAATTCACTCTGACTGGTTTGTGATTTCTGCAGAAACAGACTTATCTCGAATATTATTCTTTGTAGATACTTGCGACGATAATATTCCTTAATTAGACAGAATTAGAAATAAACATCTATTTTCGGATTTTCAATTACCACTAAAGATCCGCATTTTCGGACCCCTAATATACAAATTGAAAATCCGAAAATTATCGGATCTTTAGTATGAACACTAAAGATCCGAATTTTCGGACCTCTATCCACTGCGTAAAAAAGAGGTACCTAAAAGAAATGCATGCACATTTTAATATAATATTTATGTGGGTATTTTGAAATTACCTTGCTGATAAACAGAAGCAAACAAACTTGTCTTCCTAATTAGCCAACCACTCAAGCCTCGAGCACACAAACTTTTGAAATCTGAATTCATTATGGCGTGGCGGCCAAGCGAGTTTGTTTTGGATATGTTTCTATTCGTGTTTTGAATTATTTTGCTTAGAGTTTTGCTTGCAACTTTGATTTTAATTATTTAATAAAATATTTGTTGACTAAGTACCTAAACTATTAAATCGGGCAGAAACTAGATATTTTTTCGAGTTTTTTGGCCAATGTGTGGCCGCCGCGCCATCTTGAGTGTCACATGGTTTGGATTGCCTAATGCAAGGAAAGTGCACTGTCATAATAAAACACAAACCGATCAAAGACTGCGTGACGTCATTCGCATACCGCCATCTTCGATGTTTTTATGAACGTTTGTCTTATGGGATTGAGCAATCCTGTAGACTCTGTAGAGGGTAGTCCAACAAATCGATTTCAATGGCCGCTGCAGGAGAAACAAGCCGGTTGCCCATATACTTCGTGCTATTTTGTTCTATTTGAACAGCGTGTTAAATTTTTTCCTGATAATTTTATTGCGTTTTTTATATTTTGAACTGATTTCACTAATTTTATATTTTATCCAGAACTCTGAGGGTTGCCGAGCAACTAACACTACTGCTACAATTTACCACACAGCAAAATGCGGGCATTTCAATATATAAAATTAACAAATTATGTTGGAATACTTCAAATTTCCATAAGGATACATATATGGTAAACTTTCTTTTTTTTACTTTTTTTTTTGTACGTTTGTTCATCCTGCAGCAGCCATCCAGACCAATTTCCAGATTCAAAATTCAAATTGGGGAAAAATTGCTTTTCAATGTTTTAAGTTTGAGTTGATTTTTCTAGAAAAAAAATATCTCAGAACAAACTTCCAGCTCCAGAGACAAAATTCAAGTTTGGAAAATTTGTTTTCATGATTTATAGCTTTTTTGAACTATTTTGGCTATGGAAGTTCTGTTTTTGAGTAATGAAAGGGCAAAAAGGGCATTTTACACGAGTTTCCAAACTCTGGAATAATTGGCAATTTGGAATTTTTCGTCAATTTTTGTTTATTACAGGCTCTTGAATTGATTTTTATTAGGTATTATCCGTTCACAATCCGATGTCCACAGGTAGGTACAGGTAAAATCACCTTTCAATGCTATTTGATAGGGAAAGGTGATAAATTTACCTGCACCTGTGGACATCAGATTGTGAACAGGATATACTTACTTTTATTTGACTATAGGTCTGTTTCCATAGAAATCACAAACCAGTCAGTGCGTTTCTGATTGGTCCAAATTGCCAATAATCAGTTTCCTGACTATTTTCAACCAATAAAATTCGCTCTGAGTAGTTTGTGATTTCTGTGGAAACAGACCTTATGTAGATATGTATCTATGTATTACGTACATTTACATAATTGGCATTGTTTTTAGTACCATGGTCTCGGACAATCGAAACGTTGCTGCTAAAGCTGTTATCCGGATGGATAACAATTTCTTATCGACAAAGCGGAATTTGTCGAAGAAATGTAGATTAATGCAAAACGATTAATGGTTGTAGGGATTATAGATCGAATCAATAAGTAAGTCGTCGACTTTTCTTTATTGATCGATAGTGAAGCGATTGTTTGTGGTTCGTGTCCAGACCTAGTATGGTCTATGAAAATGATAGTCGAGATGATAGTATGAAGAAGAATTGAAAGAAAACTAATTTATAAGATCTTCTATATTTTCAATTATTTTATTCAAAACAGCTAATAGTTAAACAATATTTTAAAGGGAGATCAGAAGTAATTTGTCGCCTGTCTTAACAATATGTATACCAAAAATTTTAGAGTAGGTACCTAGGTAAGTATGATCACGACTGACAAATAAATTTCTTTTTGGATCTAGCAGAGTCACAAGGAAGATCGTTCCAATACATTTCCATGTCGTTATACTTGAAAATTTCCACGCATTCTTCTTTTCCTCCAGCGTTATCTGGCTGACCCGACGCAAATTGGTGATAAGTCACTGGCTTTCCAGTTTTAAAAAAAACAAATAGGTTACAGCTGCCCAATCTTGTAGCTGATATCCAGAAACCATCTATAACATAATATAGAGTTATTTATCTATTATGTTAATTTGCAATTCTAATTTACATTAGGTAAAGGTAAAGTTCAAATATCCGTGCTAAAAGTCTAAGGGCCATATTCTCCGTAGTTCATAAAGCCTGGCTTAGTGGAAAAGCTCGGCTTTGTCACACAAAAAGCCAAGCGTTTTCACTAAGCCAGGCAGGCTTTATGAACTACGGAGAATATGGCCCTAAGAGCCAGCGCCGAAAAAATTCTCTGAATTTACTAAAGCTAGTTTTTGGACAGTTGATTACAGTATTTACGTACATAAACATACCGCGGTCAGTCAAGCGAAACTTGGGACAAGGACCCAGGATGTCTTGTTAAAGGTGTCGAGATAACTTGGGTAATGCAACGAATTTGCTGAAAATCGTTATACATATTATATATAACATATAAATAACAGTAGTGTTAGTCAGTCAGTTGAATAGCGGGACCGTGCTGGTCAGTCAGCCCCAATAAATGTAAAAATCTGCAAAAAATATTAATATTACTGAACAAACCTATTAATTTAAACTTCAACCTACAATTTTGAATTGTCACTGTCACGCTGTCACTCTAAAAAAAAAATAGACCTATTATTTTTTTTACATAAATTGGGGTTGAGCTACCTCAATGGGGCTGAATGACCGGCCCAGTTCCGCTATTTAAGTGACTGACAAACATCACTGTTATTTATGTGTTATATATAATATGTATAGCGATTTTCAGCCTTGGTAAATTCGTTGCATTACCTAGCTATCTCGACAACTTTAACAAGACACCCTGGGTCCTTGTCCCAAGTTTCGCTTGACTGACCAAGGTATGTTTATGTACGTAAATACTGTAATCAACTGACCAAAAACTGGCTTTAGTAAATTCAGAGAATTTTTTCGGCGCTGGCTCTCCGGCTATAAATAGTTGATAAAAAATTATACAATTTGACGAGTACATAAAAAATACCTCATAAACTCATGAGTACCTATTCACAAATGGTATATCGACACAAAATAATGTAAAGTTTTTATCAGCATGTTTTGTAGAATAGTTCTATGAGATTCTATGTATAGCAGGGAAATTCGGGATAAATGTTCACCAATTAAACTATTTTAAAGGTGTTTAGGTATAAGTTTTTATAGTGAGTATTATTAAATAATAATCTACGAGATTTTATAAGAAAAAAGACACTGACATTTGCGGGTCTATGTAAGAGTTCATCATGCTGCATTTTATGAGATTCTGATTCTATACCTACATAACGAAAAATAACCACATGATCATGAGTCATTGAAGATTGAGGTATACAATAGCCATCGTTTATCATCCAAGTCTACAGGTGGCCATAAATTCACTATTTTTTAAACGTTAGAATTTTTTTTTAAAAATTAAAAATTCCCAAATGACTTGAAAATCATAAATCGTAACAAAATTATATGCATAAGTTTGTTCACTTACTATCAGGTTCTTCTGGTTTTAAAAGTTCCTCTATTTCAGCTTCTTCCTTTGCTGATTCGACAGTGGCCAGTTCCATCCCATATTGCTGACATAAATAGTGAGCTTCGAACTAATTGACTTTTTGTGGTCCAAGAAAATAGAAACGCGAGGTTCTAGAAATTATATCTATATCGTCTGGTATAGTAGTTGGTCGATCGTCGCCTATAAAACGATGTAATATAAATCCATAAACTATCTAATTTTCTTGAAAAAAAAAAATTCACCTGGTGATCCTAGTAATAATGGTATTGGAGTTTCCGTGTCCATGAAGCTGCCTGCTGCAAAGGGCAATAACAAGAAAAAAAATTTGAACATTTTATTTAGATATTTAACTTGATATTGGTTGTAGCTATAATATAGAGCAACTGAGAACTTTTCACAATGTGTGATCATTTTTATGGTTTTTGAATCTACCACATTTTGTGAGATAATGCAGCAACGCAAGATAACGAATAAGTTTCATTTCCTTGCACTTGCATTTGGTTAACCGTTTATCAATATAAAATTCCTATGAGAATTTTTTTAGACAAAAATAATAACTACCTAATAAATAAGGTTACTTGGCTAATAAATTTTTTCAGGAATCCTTGAAGACTAATACTCGTTCATAGTTTGATTTTTTTTTTTAAATTTGAATCCAGCTGGAATGAAACGCTTAAAAACAACTGTGAATGAATTGCAGCATCTATTTTCATTTATTAAAAAAGGCTTTGTTCCTTAGTCATTTTGCCATCATTCCAATCACCATCAATATGTAGCATGTTAGGTACTTCATCGTCCTTCTACAGTCACAGGATTGAGTCGGTTTTTGGTCATTTTGGCTCTACTGCTATTTCTGTGGATGGGCTGGATCCTTGGCTGTATCGTTGCCCAAGAGTCTTCAAAGATCCTTTCGGAATGTAGCTCCCAACATTATCAAAGCTTTATTTCATAAACGAGTTAGGCAAAGCTCAACTTTAGAAAAAAAAAACCCAATGCCTCATAATATCACGCCTTCCAGCGACGTATGACCTTAGATTGGTCACAATCCCTATTAAAATGAATATTTAAATCAGCAATATATAATTAGGTAAATAAAATACAGATTTTTCCAATGGAATCTCGAAGTGTGGAGATGTGTCAGTTACAATACCTCCATCGTGTTCGTCCCTATGAGAATTAGGGGAAGCTCGCTGGGTCTGCAATCTAACAGAAGAGGGTAGTGGGAAAATAAAATACCCACCGTGAAACAAAAACTGACCTGGTCCTCGGTCCTTCAGGATGGGGGTTTACTCCCAGTAAACAAAATCACGTGTAATGCACGTTCTAAGAATGTACTTAAACAGATATATCATGTTCTGAGAACATGCTTGAATAACATACAGCACGTGAATAGAACCTGCTAAGAATAGATTACAAACTCCTATTAGAAGAAGATATCATACATTCCAAAGAATGTGATGCAGCACGTTCTAAGAATGTCTTCATCACATGATTTGGGAAATATCTATTGCATTTCCAATAGCGATGAGCGAGACTGGTCTTGGTCTTGCGGTCTTGGTCTTGGTCTTGCAGAAAAAGCAAGACCAAGACCAAGACCACTTATTAGACTGCAAGACCAAGACCAAGACCGAGTATGCAAGAGTCTTGCGGTCTTGCGTTTTTGTTCCATTTTTTCCTGAAGAGTACTAAAATTTAGTATGTATTTGATTTAGTTATTTTGTAGTTGAATACATCATATCTAACTATAATTATAGGCTCTGTTATTGGTATTGGGGCCTATGAAAAGTACAGAAATATGAGATAACTGCATTAGATTATCAAGGAACAAGAAAATGGATAGATACTTACATTTCAACTCAATTATAGATAGGCATAAAAAAATCAAATGGTATGCACGTTTAAATAAAATAGTTCTTGTGTTAGCGCCGGCGCCGCCCGCAATTAATGGGCGCTTTCACATTTTTGAAAAACATATTTGAATTATTCTTTTAGTCATTCTAATAAATACTATCTTTTTATTTTTCTCCAAAAAAAAAAACGCTGGACCGGTGTATGACGTCACAAACCAGAAAATCAGTAAAAATGCGAGGATGTCAAATTTCTCATTAGTACATCATTACACAACTCATCACCTTGAGTCTATTTTCGTCCTCTACGACGTCATAAAAAAATAAAAGACAGGTAAAATCTTTGAACTCATTTAAATTTCGTATTTTTAAATGCGGCAACAAAATCATGGATATCAGCTTCAACCAATGAGAGGGCGTTTTGAGTCACGTGAATTTTTGTTAGAATTTTTTATTTTTATTTATCAATTTATTTAATAATCTGACTAAAATCTTGCAGAACATTGTTCATTCTTGGTTGCATTCATTTATCTGCGTCAAAACATATTATAATATGCCATATTCCCGGCACGTGAAAGAGGCCCATTGTGAATATCAGTAGTGCACCCAGGGGGAGCATCGGGCCGCTATCCAAAACTGTATTTTCACATAGAAAAAAATGTGGCAACATCAGGGCGTGGCACCCTGATACCTCAATTTTTTGTTTAGATTTTTAGACACAATCCTCAACCTATATACATTTTTTGCAACCAGATATTTTCCCTATTTTTTGATATCAACATTTTTAAAATCCACTGAGAAATAACCCAAAAACTTTTGAAAAATCTTTATTTTTAAATACATTTTTTTTTTTTGTTTTGTTATAAATTTTTCGAAAATGGTCCTATAATACGTAAAATGATCTGCTGATGCCAGAAAACTCAAAAAATACCGGGTGTCCCGTTTGGAAATTAAAAGTTATGGCCACTTCCGGTTTAACCGGAAGTGACTGGTAACGCAAATTACTTCTAAAAAACTCAAAAAGTTGCCTCGTTTAAGCTCCCCAAATTTCAAATTTTCAACTTATACTATATTAAAAAAGATATAGGTTGTTCCCTATTCCTTGTGTCACCCTGTATAGATGCCCCCAAACATATTCTCTGAGTGCGCCACTGGTAAATACAAATAAATGTTTCCAAGTTACAGGGACAAACTTTAACAAGTGATCCCTTAACTTCCAATGTTTTTTTGGCCATTTTTTACTTGAAAAAATGGTCTGATTTAAGTACTTGTTAAAATTTGCTGCTGTGGTAGAGGTACTCAATATTGAAAAACCAAAATTTTGATACTGGCATATACTCTCCCTTTCTTTAAACGTTTACTTACTTCAAGTGGTATCAAATACAACTTTTTTTTAAAATTTTTTTTGTAAAAATTCCCTTCAGTAAAAATCTACCAAATGAATGCAAGACTTGTGAGAGTCTTGCTGCAAGACCAAGACCAAGACCAAGACTGGACCCTGCAAGACCAAGACCACTTATCAGACTGCAAGACCAAGACCAAGACCGCATATGCAAGACCAAGACTAGCCCGGTCTTGGTCTTGGTCTTGCATTTGCTTATCACTAATTTCCAAAGAATGTTCTAAGGTATTGTTCGTCGATTTTAATCTGATACTCGGACGGAATGTAAGCTGGTGGCTCCCTACATTAGAACGCCAATGGTTACCTGACGTCACACCTGTTTTTGCCATATGAAACACCCCCTCGCTCCTCATACCGCAAGTATCAGTTAAAAATCGACGAACAATAGTGCTATTCGTGTTCTGATAGAAGATACTAAGGACATGATGGTCATGTGATATGAACGCGCGTTGGTATGTTCACAGTACATTCCTCAGCATGTGTCTAGTACCTATGTTCTTCTCACAGTCTTAAAACCTTTTTCATGTGGTTTTATATCGCCATTAAAAATTACAAACCATTTCCAAGATATTGCTGGTTGACAATTCAAATTATCAACAGTTAATATCTTCAAAATCATTTGGAATTTTTTTCTTATCAATATCAATCACGGAAAATAAAAACAATATAAATTTAGAAAAACACGGAAGTATTTAATTCACTTTATATTATGGTAACTAACTTATAATATCAATACATTTTGTTTCACGAGGGTTCATACTTTTGACATCGAAGACGATATAAATCTAAGGTTGAGTGTCCTATAATTATTAGATGCTAAAAGTGAGGTTACCTTTCCGTTTTTTTTTTGGCCGTGGCTAAAGTAACAGAGGTGTTACTATAAATATTTTCTTGAAGTAACATCAATTACGATGTCACTGACACTAAAGGCAGAAGCGAGGTTATAAGTTAATAATGGCAATGGCTAAATATAAACAACAATATTATATTATGATGCCAAACTCTGGTATCGCGAAGGTGTTAAGTCGGCGGTTCCATATTCCCATTCCTCACATGCCCTTACTTAATAGTTATTTGTAAACCAAAGGGAGGGGAGTATGTGTAGGTATAGTTCTCTCCTACAGGTGAAATTCGATTACTTAATTACCAAAGAGAGAAACGGAACTTCACTACTCCAAGGGAATATACCTACTTAAGTATATTATGATTTTTCCGAGGATTTTTCATACGACAAGATAATAGTAATTGATAATCTATTCCTAATACCTGCTTTACACATGAGGAGATATACGATACCTATCATAAAACTATTATCTACAGCGAAAAAACTTCTGCCTGGGAAGGAAAATAATTTCCTTTCCTCCCTAGGGAGGGGAAATAACTATTTTCCTCCCTGAAAAGAAGGTAAAAAATTGTCACTTTCTGACAGGGTCATAGGAAAATGTGTCTTTCCTGCCTTGCCCATAGTGCCTGTTTTATAGGTACCATCGTCACCAAAAGTATCTGGGACACAAATAATGCATAATAATCTCCCGGACTAATTCCGCTGTCATTCATTTCAATGCATTTAATTCAAGTTTGACAAATATTTGACAATAAAATTCATATAATAGGACAAGAGCTAATGTGATGCTTTCCCAGTTACTTTTGGTGACGATGGTACCTATTCCATTCTATCCTTCAAAGTCAGGTTATTTTTTATATATTTCCATTTTTACTCTAAAACAAATGCCAAGAACCGATATTCTTGGTTCTTCGCATTTGTTACTTTAAATTGCTAAAGAAAGTACCTATCTACATATTGCTATATTGACGTTACTTCAAGAAAATAATTAGAGTAACACCTCTGTTACTATAGTCCCTATTAAAGTAACGTTGTCATCAGTGACGTCATTGAACTGATGTTACTTTAAATTAATAATTATAGTAACACCTCTGTTACTTTAGCCACGGCCTTTTTTTTTTCTTTTAAACTGTACCCCAAATTCTTCTTTCTTTCGTTTGGAAACAATTATTTAAATAATTTTAGTTTTTTTTTTTTGGTGGCTAATAGCACAGAGGGAAAGGCCTAATATCCAAATAAATAATCTGCCTATAAAATATAAACTACAAACAAAGAAACATAACCTAAATTGCCTAAACCTACCTTCTACTTTATTAATGGGGTAGTATACTATGTACGAAAATCAGTAAAAAAACTGTTCGACATTATTCTATAGGCTAAATGGTGATGGTATACTGGGATACTAAATTATTTTCCAGCATAGTGTCTATAGAATTAGTTAGAGAAAAACAAACTGTAATTTGAATTTAGCGCCACAGCGGCGACCAATAGTATTCGAGCCGCTGACCATCTGACAACGCTGCTCAAAATGCCTCAAAACGACAGCTGACTTCAACAGTTCAACGACGTGTGGTGTCGTGTGAATCGTGTGACATGTGACATTGTCACAGTAACTTGTTTACGTTGTTTCATGTAGTAAATTTGACGTTTCGTTCTTGACGGTCAATGTCAGTGCAAATTGTGCGTTCTCAAAACTGTGATGTGTTGCCAGATTGGAAAAACTAACTACGTCACGAACTTTTATTTTCACGTAGGGGCGGGGCTAAGAGGAAATTAAAAAAAGAAAAAATCCAGAGTATAGCGGTTTTTACAAAGCAACTGATGACACTAAATACTACGATACGTCGAGTATATCAATACTATCGTGGAAAATTTGACGTTTGTTTGTTTATTTTGAGTTTATTTGGAATATTTTCAAGCTAATTACAGTTTACTTTGTTATAATATACTTTTTGAGATGCAGAGTGAATATTTAAAGACTTGAATGCAGGAAAATCGGGATCTGGGCGAACGGTTAGTTTAAAAAAATGTCCAGATGACATTTTGATCCACAGTTCACATTAATGAGCAAATGAAGGCCTAAAAATACGACTGCCATTTCGTATATGAATAGGATGGGAAGTGTAAAATACCCAAAAATTTTCTTTTTTAGCACGACAGTTATGGCAGTGGTGTGAGAGAAGGGATATATGGGCCCAAGCATCTTATATCCCTTCTGCTAGCCGATTTTGAGTCGAGAAAATGAGTT